TTTCTCTCATCTGGAGCTTTGCGTCTGCATTTTGCGCCTCGACCTTGCCAAAAACTGGGGAAGACACACCCAGAGGGAGGCGTGGCTGAAGTTTTTTTCCTTAGTTATCTGCTAGGCAGGAATGCATTAATAACCCATTCTGTGGACTCTACACCACTCTGCTGAGAAAAGGCGTTCAGGTAAGAACAACGCCGCTTTTCCAATTTGTTAGGTTTTTGAAGCACAGTTGGAAACTGGGATGTACTTAATTTCTTATTCCTCCTGAAACTAAAAGCTTTTTTATTCTGGGATATAATGTAAGTTTGGGAAGATACAATACTAGAAAGAAGCATCTTTATCATTAATGAGATAAATATAAAAAGATTTGCTGCAAACTTTAGAGAATATATATTGTATTTACCGGAAATTCCATGTTCTTAATTTCAAATCTAGTGTTAAAAAAGAGCCTTCTTTCTTGCTGTTTTGTAAATGAAAAGAGGTTTTCTTGTCTTTAGGATCAGTCCATGCAATCATAATCATGTGTCAGGTACCGGACTATGGCTTCTTTGAAGTTACCATGGAGTTTGATTTCACCAGTGAACAGACTGGGAAATTCAGCATTGGACGTTTTGTGCAGGCTGATGCCAAGACTGAGTTAGCACAACAACTTGGTCCCTCAGAACCTTATCAGCCTTATCAAGTCAAACTACACAAACCACAGTTCAGATCTATAGAAGATGGCGTTCGACCAAACAAGTACGTGAGGATTTTCTGTTAATTTTTTCCCTTTACTCTTCCTCTGTTTTTCCTTGACATATTGTCTCAGTATCATATTTTTTCTCCAACTCCTTTTTCTGAATTTTTTTCCCTCTTGCCATATAACTATGTTTTGCTCATCCATTTTGCAATCCTTTGTTTTGGAATTTTCTTTTTTCTGTGTCTTTTCCAATTGATGCAGTTGGCTACATGGACTAGCAATAGCACTTAGACTTATATACTGATGCATAGTTTAACACAGGGCTTTTCAACCTTTTCACCCATTGTACCACTTTTCGGATAAGGCAATATCCGAGTACCACCACTCGCAAACAAGGTATCAAAAACTTGAACCCCCCCAAAAAAAGGAAAAAATGAGAAAGTACAGGTAGTCCTTGACTTACAACAATTCGCTTAGTGACTGTTTGAAGTTACAAGCGAATTATGACCATTTTTCACACTTATGACTATTGCAGCATCCCCAGGGTCTTGTGATTTACATTCGGATGCTTGGCAACTGATTCATACTTATGTCCCATGGTCATGTGATCAGTGGCCGGGGGGGCATGGCCAGCTGATCATTCAGGTTGCAGGGTGCCTGTGGGGGGGGAATCCGTGGGTCTCTGGTGGAGGGGGATGCGACTGGGGCAGGTGCCTGCCTGCCTTCCCTCCCTCTCTCCCATTGTCCCTTCTTTCCTTCCTTTCCTTCACCTCCCTCTTTGTCCCTCCCTCCTTTCCTCCCTCTTTCCCATTGTCCCTTCCTTCCTTCCTTCCTTTCCTTCACCTCCCTCTTTGTCCCTCCCTCCTTCCCTCCCTCTTTCCCACTGTCCCTTCCTTCTTTCCTTCCTTTCCTTCACCTCCCTTTGTCCCTCCCTCCTTCCCTCCCCTCTCCCATTGTCCCTTCCTTCTTTCCTTCCTTTCCTTCACCTCCCTCTTTGTCCCTTCCTCCTTCCCTCCCTCTTTCCTATTGTCCCTTCCTTCCTTCTTTCCTTCCTTTTCTTTACCTCCCTCTTTGTCCCTTCCTCCTTCCCTCCCTCTCTCCCTGTCAAATCCCCGTCAGCTCAACATGAACTGGCGGGGGGAGGGGTCGAGGATGACGTGCGGGGCGGCAAAAAAGACCAGTGGCCGGCGCCGTTCTACCTGGCAGTGTGGATGCCTCCTGACCAAGCCAAACAGCTGATGGGCGGGAGGCGGAGGCAGGGAGTCAAGGGCTGATGGAGCGGCCTGAAGCTGAAAGACTCTGTCTCTCGGCCGCCAAACAGCTGATAAAAGCGACGCCTGGAGCACAGCCGAAGGACACTCAAGGGACTGAAAGGCTGCAGCGCTGCAGCTCCCATTGTCCCTTCCTTTCCTTCCTTCCTTCCTTCCTCATTCCTTCGTCCTGTGCTACGCCGGCCAGACCCCAGCCTGGTTTTGGCAGGCAGCAACACATCACGGCCCTGCCTGTGTGCGCACAGAGGCAGAGGAGAGCGCACAGGCAGGGTGGGGATGTGGCCGGTTCACCTCCAGTTTTCAGGCACGTACGTTAGAACCGGCTACTTCTCCCAGTCATTTTCCCCCTACATTTTTCCCCTGAAGCAGAGAGTCGGAGAGCTGCATCACTCTCGCCGTATGGGCCTTCTACTTTTATGCTCCGGGAGTAGCTTGCCTTTCAAACCTCCGATAATTAACGGAAGGGGAAACCCGCTGCAAAGGTGCATTTCCCGAAAAGAGAAAGGCGATCAGTCAGCCAAGAGCCCGGCTGTTTCAGACTTTAAGCCTGCGATACAGGCAACAGAGGCCCAAGCAAAGAAGGTGATCCAAGAAAAGGGGAAAACAAGGTGCTTTCCTTTCCAGCAAAAGTTACTTTTCCAAAACTGCCTTAAATAAAGAAGTGACTCCCCCTCCCTCTAATAATTGACTTTCTCCTGGCTTTTCCAACCTTCCCGGGCAGGAAGAGATCAGCCCTGACCGGCTTTTGTTCCCCAAAGGCTAAAGTTGATCGCTCGCTTGTCTGATCCAAGGGGCACACGGGCACCCCGAGACCCGCTCCAGGCCACCACTAAGCCATGATTCCCAGTTTGTAGAAAAGTTGGGGGGGGGGGAAGAAAAGCGATCAGTCAGCCAAGAGCCCGGCTGTTTCAGACTTTAAGCCTGCGATACAGGCAACGGCGTGTGCTTCTCCCAGCCCGGAAGGGGCTATCAGGCTAGCACTTGTTGTGAAGTAAGAAAAGGGAGGGGAAGGGCCACACGGATCCTGCTGACCTGCGTGCACCAGAAGAAGTCAATCTGGTTGCTGCACAGTGAGTCCCTGGGGAGGGCAAGGCCTTGCTCTGCACCTGCGCTTTTCGCGCGCCCCCTGCAGGGCACGTTCGGTAGGGTTTGTGCAGGCTGCCGCCAAGCAGCGTTTTCCACAAACAAGTGAGCTGGGAAGGAGCAGAGTGGGCGGGGGAGGAAAGCGACGTGGGGGAGGGAGAGGAAGGCGACGCGTACCAACAGCCAGGGGGTTGCGTACCACCAGTGGTAGGCGTACCACTGGTTGAAAAGCCCTGCTTTACAGCACTCTCTGAACAGTTTAAAGTATAAGCATATTGCCCCCAACAATATGGGTCCTCATTTTACTTTTTTTTTTTTTTTTTTTCAAAGAATTTTTTATTGTTTTCAACATAAAAAAAAAACACATCACAAATACATCACAATTGAAAACCCCCCCCCACCCCCCACCCGGACTTCCCAAACCTAATCCCAGGATACTATTCAACTAAAAGTAACCTTGTATTAATATCCCTAACTCCACAAAATGTTATTCTACATAAGTAGGTGAAATATATATATATGTAAAAAAAAAAATTTTTTTTTTTTCTAAAAACCTAACTTATATTCCACCATTCTATGCTTATTTTGAATATAAACGATCCATCTTCTCCATATTAATAAAAATTGTTCATTTGAATGATCCTTCAAATAAGCCGAAATCTTTGCCATTTCAGCAAGATGCGAAACCTTCAATCTCCAGTCCTCTATTGTAGGTAAAACTTTACTCTTCCAGTTTTGAGCTATCAGCAGACGGGCAGCAGTTAAACAATACAACATCAAATTCGTTTCTTTTACATCCAAATTATGTGTAATACCTAGGAGAAACAGCTGAGGCAAGAAAAAAATTCTTCTTTTAAAAACTTGCTGTAAATTCCACCATAATTTTATCCAGAAGGCTTTAATAACCTTGCAAGTCCACCACATGTGAAAAAAAGTTGCATCTTGTTGTCCACACCTCCAGCACTTGGATTCATAGTTCTCATAAATGCGAGACATAGTTGCAGGATCCATGTGCCATCTATAAAACATCTTGTAAAAATTCTCACGTAAATTTTGTGCCTGCGTAAATTTCACATTTCTCACCCATATCAACTCCCAGGTATCCATAGNAAGAAAAGTCTGGATACTTCCGTCTCAAAACTTCTATTGATTTGAGGCACCATTCACCACTACCACTCAAATATAGCAAATCTTTATAAGATGGCGCCTCCATAACCACAAATCTTGGTATAGTCAAAAAAATATGTGATGGTATCACCCAAATTGGAAGTTTAACATCAAACTTAAGAAAATATTTTTGCCAAACTCTTAACAGTGCAGCCCTTATTATATGGTTTCTAAAAGTTTTGTCAATCTTTTTTTGCATAAAAAGATAAGCATGCCACCCAAAGTACAAATCCCATCCTTCCAAGTTCAAAATCATCTTATTAGATAAGTTAATCCAATCCGTCATCCAAGTCAATGCACAAGAATCATAGTAAAGTATCAAATTTGGAGCTTTAAGTCCTCCACGTTCTCTAGCATCTTGAATAATCTTGAATTTAACACGTGCTTTCTTGCCTTCCCAAATAAAATGATTCAAGTCTCTCTGCCATTCTTTCAAGTTAAGTTCATTTTTTAAAAGAGGTATTGTCTGGAATAAAAAGAGAAACTTAGGTAAAATGTTCATTTTAATGGCCGCAATACGACCCAGCAAGGTTAGTACTCTGCGTTGTGGGTCCTCATTTTACTGACCTTGGAAGAATAGAAGGCTGAGTCAACTTTGAGCCCCTTCAGGATCAAATTCCTGGCAGTGGGCAAAGTTAGCTGGTAATGCTGCATTCTATCAACCATGGTTTCATTAGCTATACTAGGACTAGCCATACCATTTTAATTTTCTATATCATTTAGCACTCTTATCAGTGCTAAATAAATTTTGAGATAAAGACTGGACCCCAAAGTCCTCTCATAAAGAGTGGAGCTAAATGGGATGCAGCCAAAACTATTAATTACTGTTTGTTATATTTATGAAACTTTGAGAGTTTTAATCTTTTTCATTTTTATTCTTCTAAGCCTTACTTACTTTATTCTTCTAAGCCCCTTACTTACTAAGCGTTGCTAGTTCCTTCTTTATAGTCATGTTCTGGGTTTGTAAGTTTAGATTAGAAAATTGTTCTTTTATCTCCTTTGTTTTATTTCTAGTTTCATCATGGGCTAAAGCAATAGTCTCTTGTATTGATTTCAGTGTGGCAAAAAAAAATTCTGGTCTTCAACCATATTTTCTTGGTGATACATCAAACTGAAGTCTTTGGGGACAGGTGTTAGAGATGGTTTTTTACCATTTAAAGCTGAATATGGGACATCCATTTCATTTTTTGTAGGTGGTATTTATAATAACAATTGTTCTTCAATCAAAGATTTGTAATCCAAAATATTCCATCGTCTCAGGTAGTGATGTGTGTTTCTCCTGCAGGGAAATAGTTCCACAATATAGCTCTGAAAGTCAGTGAATATTTATATTCGTAGTTCAGACAGGCCGGTTTCAAAATAGTTTAATGTCTCTGCCACACCGATAAACAGCTCAGATGTTTTCCTTTTCCCCAGCTGCAGTCTGAAAAGTGAAAGCTTCCAAGAACAGCAATAGTCTTATCTAAATCTGGGCCTCAAGCCAAGTTTCCTTTAGGCATAACAAATTATAGTGCCATAGTTCATCACTAGGTGTCATTAGCGCCTTTTTCAGTTTTTTAAATCCAAACTTAGAGGCTTTTCAAATCTCTCTCTCTTTTTTTTTAAAAGAAAGTCTCAAAAAACACTTTTAGTCCCCAAATTTCAATGCCATGTAAATATATTAGTTCCAAATTAATTGTGTAGTTTTCTCTCCCCCCCCCCCAAGTTTCTCTTTTCCTGAGGAAACGAGGTAAAAGTTCCCCTTCCCTCTTTCATCGGGACGATGCTTTGGGTTAATTTTTTCAGGAAGATGTCTTAAGAGTCATAAAGAGAGGATAAGGTCTCACCCAGTTTCATCCACGTTGCTGATAGTTTGCTCATTGGTGCTTATTTGCTTCGGCTGTCAGCAGCTTCTGACCGGCTACATGAATGTAGCCAGTCTTTCCCCTGTTGGTTTGAAGGGCTTTTTCGGATCAAATGGAAGGGCTGCCACCCTCCTGCAATCAAACAAGGGTCCCCTCCTTGCTTGTCGCCTCTACGGGGCGACTTTCGACCCTTTCCAGGGTCCCCAGCGGGGCAAAATCGAACGTGGAAGACAGAACCCTGTCTCTCTGCCACAACATCAAACCGGAAGTCTCACATTTTCCTTCTAATGGTACGTTCTGATAATCTGGGATGGCCTTTATTGAAGTTTTAGGTAAGGATGAACAATGAAGAGGAAACCACTTTTAACTTTTAATTTTTTTATCTCCAATGCCCAAAGACATGGGGGAATGGCAAAGATTCAGTAACATCAGCAGAGGGCACAAAGATTTTCCCCCTATTTGGGGGAAGTAGTTTGAAGATGAAGAAAAGGATAAAATATCCATGTTTTTTCATATTTTGTCATCAAAATTTAGGGACACAGTTTAGGACATGATGTAAAAACTGAGCTGTAAAAACATAGTCCATTGATATCCATTACTATAATAGAAAGAGGAACCCATGAGTCTATCGGAAAACAGCTTGAAATTGTTTTCCTTGTTATGAATATCTCTGATTAACATCTTAAACCATGCAACTTGGTGCTTGTCTTGTGTTTTTAGCACTTTGTCCACTGAATTGGAGCAGAAACCTTTGGATCAGTACAAATACCCAAGCGATCTGAAGGATTTGATTGAATGCTTGAAGGAAGGTGATGATGGCACCAATGACAAGATTGCCCATCTACTGTAAGTTCTTACTAAGTAAGAAATTGTCCTTCTCTTCACTTTCCACCCACCTCTTTGTCTTAAGGAAGAGAGATCTACCCATCATGTTACTACAGCATATTGATGCAATAATTAAAGTATGCAATTATAACTAGCAAATCCTAGACAGAAACCTTGCTTGACCATGAATTTGTGGCGAGTTTAGCCCAGTTGCTATCATTCAGACCTTGTTTTTCACAGGATTGTTCATATTTTGAGAATACAACAAGGGAAAATGTTTATACTTGTTAGCTTGAACTCCCAGAGGAAATATGGGATATATAAATGTAAAAAAAAAAAGTCGTGAATTTTTCTCTTCCTGCTTAATGACCACCAAGATTAATTGTGATATATCAGCCCCGCTCTACCACCTATTCTGATTGCATATAATAGGATTGGTAAGAGAAGGCTCGTGTTGGAATTAATGTGTGACTTCATAAACATTTGTTCTTAAATATCATTTTTTCTTGTGTTTCCTGGTTTAGACTAGCTTAGGGATAGCTAATATGGCACTCGTGAGCAACATATGTCTGTGAAGACAGACAACTTTGTCTATGCTATGTGGTGTGATGATAAAAAGAAAAAGTTATAGCTAGGCTTGAATATTGGGCTGAAACAGAAAAGTAAAATTTACCAGAGAGAAATTTAATTTCTGCTTCTGGTGGTAAAAAAAATGAAGAGTGGGAGCAGTCTGGTTTTATGGTAGGAAGTGTGAAAGGAATATGGGTATGAATGTAGTTGAATGTAACCCACCAGTGTGATGCAGCTGATAAAAAGGTTAATGCCGGAAATCTTCAAACAGAGACTGGATAACCACCTGGCTGAAATGCTTTAGCACAGTGTTTCTCAACCTTGACAATTTTAAGGCATGTGGACTTCAACTCCCAGAATTCCACAGCCAGCAATGCTGGCTGTGGAATTTTGGGAGTTGAAGTCCACATGCCTTAAAATTGTCAAGGTTGAGAAACACTGCTTTAGCAGAACCTGCGCAAACCTGCAGGGGTTTGGGCTACATTACCTCTGAAGTGCCTTCCAACTCTTATGGAAATGAAAAAGTCATCATACTGCAAATCAAGATATTTTTAGAAAATAAAAATGGGAGGAGCTGCAAATGATATTGTGCTTGGCAACAGGTCCTTCAGTTTTTTTAAAAAAAAAATATGAAAATGAACTAGGTGAGAGAGAGGAGGTAGCGTGCAGAGGAACAAACACATCCATTCATATTTGGATACATTAATCACAGCAGCTGTTTTGTGGACTAGGATGCCCCTCTTCTTTTCATGGAAAACACTAGAAATACAGCAACATGTAGAATTTTTGAAACAAACAATTTCATCACAGTTTCTACTTTCACTGGAAGTGTTATAAACTCACAATGCTCCTGTTTTGAACCCTGTTTCGTATTCAAAGCACTTCCAGTAAGGTCAGAACAGCGGCTGTTCTGAGTTTAGATTGGGTTCACGATTCAATCTCAGAATGTTTTGTAGAGTTTGAACAGCCATATGGTGAAGCACCTAGAGCTTGCTTTGAAATTCCAAATGTGGAAGAAGATTTCTTATCCAAAAAATCCCTGTGTGTTTGTATACCACCTTGTAGAAGCAAGTTCTTACAATAGATATTCATCTCTTCATTTTGATTTTATTGTTGCTAATATTTGTATACACCTCTGGGTGTTTTAGATATTTCAGATGTTGAGATGTTTAGAAGGATTAGCATTGCTCAACAACAGATTTTAAATAACTTAGAACAGTGATTCTCAACCTTTTTAATGCCGCGACCCCAACCGGTCGTAAGTCGAGGACTAAACCGGTCGTAAGTCGAGGACTTTCCCTGCCTGGGAGCACCGCGCATGCGTGGTTCCGCCCCCTGCGCCGGACGAGGCGTAGCTGGCAAGCGGCAGAGACGGAGCAGGCCAACCACCAGCTGGCCCAGCCCAAGGGAGGTAAGGCACCCGCCGGAAAAGGGGAAAAAAATGGCGGACAGCCTTGCTTGGCGACCCCCGTGAAATGGTCGATCGACCCCAAATGGAGTCCCGACCCACAGGTTGAGAACCATTGACTTAGAAACTAGTAGCTGAGCAGCCTCAGAGATAGTTGTGTGTGTTCAGACTGACCCTCTTTGAATGGCAGTCCTTTTACTATCTCTTGGAATAGCAAGAAGCTGTTGGGTAGTGGGGGTCCACTTTTGTTACTGCCCAGTTTATGTCATCTTGTTCATTGTGTACTGTTTTATTGTTTTTGATGTTTACTTGTCAACTGCTCAGAATCATTGGAAGCTAGCTAGCAGCTCTTTTTAAATACCAGCATTGGTTTGTCTTTTGCTAGTACCATATTTTACTTTTCTTCAAGTATTATGAAGTTCAGATAGCTCACTTGTCTGCATTCATGTGCAGAAAGGAGCAGCAATTATCCAGGATCATCCAAATAAAATGGGGAATATTTTAAGGCAGGTATATGTTGTGGTTTTATCTCTTCCCCCTCCCTCCACCAAATATTATAATAAACTCTCCCATCTCTGATGAAAAGAAAAGTGATTCCGGTAGGGGTGCGCAGATTTAATTTGATAGAATGCTACCATATACTTCCAAACAGGAGCAGTCTGGAAGCCCCCTTGCAATTTGACAATTATTCTGAGAAGTTTTGTCTGCTTCTTCACTTGGAAGAGATCCAAATGGAGGTGGACATCCATCGATACGATATGCAGAATGTTAGCATGGTTAGAGACAAATACAATAAGAAACTTCTTGTTCTGAAGGTGAGTGACTTATACCTTGAGTCTAGAAGAAATCCTTATTCTGTGAATGCAGTAGAGCATAGATGCTCAACCTCAGCTCCTTTGCTTGCCATTCTTAGTTGCTCCTGATTTGCAGTAAGACATCATATGGTTGAAATAGGAGAGTGGTTCAGGGCGAATGGATTATACTTATAAAATTATGGGTGAGTTTAAGAAAAAAATAGGAAGAAAAGAATAGGAACATCAAAAACAATAAAAAATAGAGAAAATACAGGATCAGTCTCCCACAAAATAAAAATCAAAGCTGCTTGTTTCAAATAGCCTCCCACAATCTCTCTCTCTCTCCCTCCCTCCCTGCCCCCCCACTTGCCTTCTCCACATCCCACTGCTAGCACTTTTCAAACAATTTAGATTCACCTTTTCATCCCCCAAAGATCTGTACATACAAGTTAAAAGTATTTCATATGGATAAAAAGATTTTTCAGTTGGAGCTCAAAGAATGTGAAATCTAAAGTGATCAAGGTCAAAAGCAGAGGACCTGAGACCAAACTGCTCTGTTAAAATAACAGTGCACTCATTCATCAGCTTCTTACTCTAAGAAACCAGTGACGCTCCATTACAGCATAAGGGCAAAAAAAATTAAGCCCAGGACTTGAGTCTTAGAGTTGTTGTTTTTAGTTCAATAGTTGTTTTTCTTCAGTATTAAGGGCTTTTTAGTATCTGTGCTTAAAGTATCTTATTCAAGCTAGATCTTTAAAAATGGCTGCAAGCATTATGAGTGAATTAGTCTGGGTGAAGCATGATAGTTGCAATACTAAATTGTACAGATAACTTTAGCTGTACAATTGTACAGATAACTAATATCAGATTGCACATACAGTATTGTTTGTACTCACTAGCTGTTGAAAATTAAGTTTTAAGTCATGTAGATGAGAATAAGGAGAAAGGAAACAAAGAGGGAAGAGAATGCTGAAATTCTAGGAGAAAAAAAATACAGCAAAAAAAAATCAAGGGGAAACACTAGGCATATTTAAACTATCACTCGTAATAAGTTATAACTTCTAAATTCAAAATTGTGCATGAATTGTGATGAAAGACGGTTAGGAATATTCCCTGCCCAACCCACCCAGTGAATACAAATAGCAAATACATATGATTTAAATTCATTTGCTCCAGCAAAAGCAATTGTCTGTCTGTAACAAGGCATTTGATTTGTTATTCAAGAGCTTCCTTACTCAGGCAGGAGAATAACAAAGTTTGTACTTCAAATTGGTCTGATTCTTTGTTCCAGGCACCTGGTGTGGCAGAGAACCGGCCTTCAGTGTTGAGAGGTGACCATCTGTTTGTGAACTTGGTTGAAGGGCAACCAAAATACCAAGGTCCCTTCTATAAAGGTTATGTCCATGCTGTGGAGTGGGACCAAGTCAAGCTGGGGTTTTCTGACAAGTGAGTACTTCAACTTCATCCTATGGTTAGATTTTTTTTTATGAGAACAGAGATAATTGGCTCCTAATCCAGCATGGATAGTTATGTAAGGCTTTCATTTTAACTGGGAAAGGTAGGAATAGCATTTAATAGGCATAATTTAATAGAGTATGATTTAAATTATGCATATTAAATTAAAAATATTCAAAAATTGACTGTTATATTATGGGAATCTTCATTGCCTTAAATGTATTGTCTGTTGTACAGTTTAGTTGCTTGACAATTTAATATTATTGAAAATCAAGTGTACAGGAAAGTGCAGCCTTCTTCAATTTGGTATTCTCTGTGTTGAAACTCGAATTTCAGAATTCCCACCAGAATTCCTTCTGGTAGCAAACTGGGGGAAGGCTATAACAAGGGATTACCAAATATTGTTTACAGTACTTATGTATGGAATAGAGGGCTCAGCAGTTTGAGAAGTGCAGCTGTGAAGCAAATTGACTTAGATCAAGATTATTTTGAAAGATGGGTGAGGCCAAGGAAAAATGAACAAGTATGATCATATGGAAGAAAAATCATGAGGCTCCTGATTTGGGAAAGGTGACCATAAGCAGATTGAAGGCAAACGAGGTCCAGACAGAAGAAGAACATCATGGCTTCAAAATCTAAGGGACTGGTTTGGACAAAACTCAGCAGCACTTTTTCGTGCGGCTGCTGATAAAAACAGGATCGCCAACGTCCGATAATGGATATGGCACAAGAAGAAGAAGAAAGGCCATAAGCAGACCAGGAAAAAAAACCCCAACAAGTTGGGAGTCGAAATGATGGTGCAGTTTGAGTGTTGCATGTTTAGCCTTAGGCTAGCAATGCCATGTTCTTCAATCATCCATCAGCTTCCTTTTCTTTTCCTAGATTACTAAATAAGTTTGTTGATAACATGAAGTTTGATGTGGAATTTACTTTCAATCGTCTGCCCTTACGCCTTCAGCATCGGGCTGTTACTCTTGCCCAGAAGCAGCAACTGTCCCATCTGCTCTTTCCATGCTTCTCTTACAAGGAATCACTCTTGTCTACTAATGAGGAACTCCGGTGAGTAGGGACAAGAAAGAAGGGAGAGAATGTCAATAGACAAGGGGAACACAAGAACACTGCTGAATGAACTGGTCAAATAGTCCAGCTTTTTCTTGCCACAACGACTAGCTAAATTTCTGTGGTAAGCTGAGAAAAAGCTTTTACTTATGTTCCATAGCAGATGGTTCACCAATTACAAATAGCTGTCACACCGCTGATTATCTTTTTGGTAGCCTTGTGAAATTATTTTTAAAACTCTCAGATGTTGTGGTACATCGCTAAACTTATAGGAACAATGTTTTTAGCTGAATAATGTAATAAGCAGAAATATTTACTTTTATCCATTCTAAATATCAGCTTCATTAGATAACTCTGGATTCTAATATTTTGAATGAGGGAGAATTTGCTTTTCTTACCTACATTATTCATAGTTTTATGAGGGTGTATATTTCTCTTCCCTTCGGGCCCCAGTAACTTCTGTCTTTTTCCAAATTAAAAATGACAGAGATTTTAGGGAAATTCTAGTCCAGCAAGGTCAGGGCAAGGGATAGATGTCTTTTTCTGTTCTATAACATTTTTTGAAGCCTGATTATTGGACTGCTATATTGTACATGGTATTTCAGCTGTGATTACTTCATAGGTTTCTGCAAATGCATTGTGATGTTGGTTGTTCTCTATTTCTTTGTCAATATGGAATCTACCTTTTACAAAGCAGTCAGATATCGGTCAGTATTTTCTATGCCATTACAACCTAAGATACTCTTAGGTTATTCTTATCTAGTCCTAAAATACAACCTAAGATACCCTTAGGTTGTAAAGTTGCTACACTTCATCATTCATTACTAGCTCTGACCCCATCAGCTTTTATATAAAAGCAGCAAATTTTTTTGCCCTATTATGTACCACTTCATATGAAACTTCATTTGCCCATTGGAAAGATACTTACAATTGTCACAATTGTAAAAAAAAATAGATGCTGACTTGCAAAACAATACAGGTAGTCCTTGCTTAACAGCCTTTTTATTCAACAGCTGTTAACGACAACGCTGAATGAATGGTACTTATACTTGTTCTTTGAAGCTATGTCTGTTGCAGTGTCCCCAAGCTCATGTGATGAAAATTTGGGCATTTGGCAGCTTGCTTACATTTATGGTGGCAGAAGAATTTAAATTACTCCATTCCCTCCCCCTCCCCCCCATTCCTGCCATTTTGGCTACCCTGCATTCCATCACTCCTGCTGCACCCAGCTGACCTTCCTCAACTTCCTCCCATTTGCTGACAAGGCACAGCCAGCCTGGTTCCAACCCTTAATTAGGCAGCTGCCACATGAGGCCTTCTCCCTAAGTTCACACCTAGCCTGCTCAAAGTTGCATGAAGCTTCACAAAAAGGCTGGGCATGGCCTCCAGACGAAAGCCAACAGCTACCCTACCCCCAGAAGGGTCAGGCTGGGCATGCCTTGTCAGCAGTGGGAGGAAGAAGATAGTGGGCAGGTGTGAGTGGCAGAATGCAAAACAACTTATGCATACTTCTGCCCCTGACAGCAGCCATTTCTGGCTTGGCTGGCTAACATTGCACAGCAGCAGCCATTTCCTGCTGGCCAACCTGCCTGCTTGTAAGCTGCCTGGACCTGACAACTTGTACTGTCTTTCCTAATGATTTTGCTTGTTCAAAGCTGGCAGGAAGTTTTGAGGAGGTCCTCGCATTACAATCCTTGATTCTCACTTAACCACAGTGATGGAACTGCTATCACTAAGGAATGCCAGTCACATGACATTGCAATTTACAACTGCATTGCTTAGTGATGGAAATTCCATCCCAATTATCATAATTAACAGAGGCCTACCTGTAAATAAGATTAATCAGATGTAGTTTTGCTCTTTGGCCTGGGCTTTGTTTTATTTTCTTTCTTTTCTCTGTCTATACCCTCCAGCTTGTATAATTCTAACCTGAGCAAGAATGCGGAGCAAAAGGAAGCTGTCCGGCAGGTGGTGGCAGGAACTTCCAGACCAGCCCCATATCTTATATTTGGGCCTCCAGGTACTGGCAAGACAGTCACTATGGTGGAGGCCATTAAGCAGGTGAATACACTTTTGTCACAGATCTAATTATAATAAAAGTGTGAAATGGACTGGGGAGGAGCAAAGAAGTCTTGCTTACAACCTTGATGAATATGTTCCTAAACCAAGAATCTTGTGGAGATGCAGTTCTATTTTGCACCATCCTTAAGGAGCTTCCTGCAAAGCTTGAAGTATAAATAAAAAGTATTCTTTTTTTTTTCAATTAAAAAGGCTCTTATTTGTGCTGTTGTCCTTCTCAGGTTCTGCAATGCATTGAAGGTGCCCATGTGCTTGCTTGTGCTCCTTCCAACAGTGCCTCAGATCTGCTCTGCCAGCACCTCATGAAACATTTGAATAGTAGGAACATCTACAGGATGAATGCTAGCAGTAGGGGTTACCATACAATCCCTGAGGATATCAAGGTGTTTTCTAATTCTCTCTCTCTGAACTAAGCATTCGGTTCTGGCTAAGATCTGCCAGGCTAATAGCTGGTAGCATTCCCATATGTCTACCATCTAAAATTTTGGGTTGATAAACTTAAAAAGAATAGATCTCCATTCTTGGGTGTTATTTAACACCTGCTTTTGTTTTTAGCCTGTGTGTAACTGGGATAAGGAACAGAATTGCCCTATATTTCCAAGAAAGGTAAAACTGCAAAGCTACCAGGTCATTATCACCACGCTAGTGACAGCGGGAAGGTAAGCCATGTGTAAATAACTACTGAAGATGGGGGAGGGAATAAATTATGAAATTATTATGGCGAGGCATAGTGATTTGGAAAACGTTAGTCACTTGAAAAACATTGTCATTAGAAAACAAAATTTGATTTGTTTTTTCAAAAATTCCATTCACTTTTGGGAGATGAAAAGTATAATTAGCTAAGAAGGGAGAAAATTAACTTTTTATAGCCACCAAGTCTTCTCAGCACATATTTTTAAAGAAATGGTTCACTGATCTCTGAAATTTTCAAACACAAGAATTAAGTGATTAATATTCACCAGATGTTGTACAGATTCCACCACCCCCAACAAGTATATTAGGAATTATAGTTTACCAACTCTTGAGAAAGAGTTTTTAGGGCATTACTTCACATAGTTAAAAATTTCTGCTGAAATACCAAAAAACGGGCAGATTTGTGACATTTTCTTGGTTGCTGTGTGACAGGTAACAGATCCAAAGGCAGACAGTCAAGAGCATTATGTTAGTATTCCCAATTCCAGGAAAGGGCATGAACCAAGATAATAAATCTATACTTGGTTTATTTACTGGAATGTTAGGCAAAAAGTAAAGCATTAGCCATTATGATACAAATAATAAGTTTCAAGGGTGTGACAGGCTAAAAACAGGCTAAATTAAAATTTTTGCTTAGCTACAAGAGGTTAAGATCTTGGGTAGTAATGGTTAAGGTGCTAGATTCATCCCTAGAAAGACACAAGTTCAAGTTTATTCATGTCAGGAATTTCACTGGGGGTGACTTTGGATCCTATCATTGTCTCTTAGCTTAATGTTCTCTAGAGCAATGTTTCTTAACCTCAACTACTTTATGATGTGTAGATTTCAATTCGCAGAATTCCCCGATTGGCATGCTGACCAGGGAATTCTGTGAGTTGAAATCCACAGATCTTAAAGTTGCTGAGGTTGACAAACACAGGGTTCTTTTTGTGGAAAAAAATACTGGAGGAGTATTGCAACCAAGAAAATCTCATAAACCTTCCTGGAAGAGATGCAGTATATAAATTTAATAAAATAAGTAATATTAGACTACCCTTCCTCAGTGTGGTTGCTGCAAGAGGATCAAGGATCACAGTTCTCTGAATTCTTGGCCACATGAGAGGTGGGAAAGAAATGAATATTTCCTTGAAGTCTTTAGGTAAAGGATGCCAAAATTAGCTTAAAGGGTAGATAAGGAGTTGGTGAGATTTTGTTTATTTTTATGCAGAGAATTTTCATATCACTTAGGGGGAAAGGCCATTTGAACACATGGAAGAAGAGACCTAGGGTAATAGTGTTTTCTTGGAAGCAGAATATTTCTATATGTGTTCAGAGATTTTGTGTACCTCTTAATTAGATTGGCTTCAGCTGAGTTCCCTCAGGGACATTTTTCTCATGTCTTTATTGATGAGAGCGGCCATGCTGTGGAACCAGAGAGCTTAATTGCCATTTCAGGTGAGGAATGATTTTTCTGTAGCTTTTTCCCCCCTTTCTCTTCTACACAAGACTAGCATGTTGATTTCCAGTAGGACAGAATGGAAATGATCCATTTCTTTGCTCTGGTTCTTGTCAACTAACTCACACTTCCCCAGTCTGGCATTTGCCAGAGGGATTGGGCGTGTGGTTCCAGAACATCCAGTAGTTTCAGTGTTTTGGGGAGACAGAGTCCTGGGGAAGTTTGAGGAAGCCCATTTCTAGATATTTTAATATTTTGCTGTTGAAGATACAGAATGTTTTGAATGGCAATTGTGTGTTTATATAAAGCCTTCCAGTAGCATTTAGCATATCTTGTTAGCGTCTTACTAACAACTAGCAATTGTGGAGCTAATCAGTTCTAGGTTTAATACTTATTGCTGTGATATGGAAATAGGCATAATCTTTGCCTATTGTTGAACAATCCACAAGGGGAAACTTTGTGAAGCGGGCTCCTAGGACAGGCCCTTCCCACTCGTGCTAACAGAGGAAGTTTGTTACAGATCCCATCAGTCAAGGAACTCTACTGGTGGGATTCAGGAGAAGAGCCTTTTCTGCTATGGCACCATCCCTTTGGAACATTCTTGCCCCCTGGAGTGAGGTCTTTCCCCACCCTCCTGTCCTTCTGTAAGAGCTTGAAGACCTGGCTCTGCTGGTTGGCCTGGAGAGCCAATAGGGCAGTATCACAGTGGAGGCAGCTATTAGACCAGGGGTCCTCAACCTTGGCAACTTTAAGACTTGTGGAATTCTGGGAGTTGAAGTCCACAAGTCTTAAAGTTGCCAAGGTTGAGGACCCCTGTATTAGACTAATAACAGATCCCCCTCCCCCTGCATCTTGTTCCCTGCCAGCCCATTTTTTAATTCATATTATTGTATTCTCATTATTTTTATAGTTTCTTTGTTTTCCTATTGTTATATTTACATTTTTTATAATTTTACGTTCTACCACTGTAAGCTGCCTAGAGTTAGCCCCACAGCAAGATGGGCAGCAAATAAATTTAATAATAATAAAAAAAAAACCTAGGAATTCTTACTGTAGATATTTCTGTTGTATGTTGGAAGGCTATTTGCTTGCTTAGTACTTTTATTTATCCTCTTTCTAACTTTTTACAAGTGCTAATATTTAATACTTGTTTTCTCATTTTTAATGTTGCTTGATCTTATTCCATGCACATGTTTTAATAGAAATGGTTTTTATGTTTAAGTAAGCAACAGAGAAAACTTTGTAGAAAAGAAATTAGAAGAAAACGCTTAGAAAGCAAATAGGTGTCCGTCTCTCTTTCAGGTATTCTTGCCATGATGGACCCGAAGACAAATGTCAGTGGAGGTCAGCTGGTTTTAGCAGGGGATCCTCAGCAACTGGGACCGATTTTGAGATCTCCTCTGGCTATTGAACATGGCTTGGGCAAGTAAAAGGACGTCATATTTTAATATTGTACCAATTTGTATGGTGCAAAATAGCTAAGGGTGCAGAAAAAAATGTAAAGAAATGTAAAGCCATTGAACTCCCACCTGGGCATTGCATAACCATAGTGTTGGTGATGTCTGTTTCAAAATAACTCTGGGCGACTCTATTATCTTCCCTGAATCCCACTTCAGTTTGTCTTTAGACTTAATTAATGATATCTCTGAAGGGGTTGTTTCATTGCAAACGAGCAATGATGAAGTCTTCTTAAGAAATTCTACCTCTGTAGCTTGTTTCAAATATATCCACAAAATGCTCCAAGAATGTATGTTATATATTGGTTACTTTGGCTGAAATAATAAGAGTATTCTATTGTAGATTAGAGCAGGGCTTTTCAACCTTTTCACCCATTGTACCACTTTTAGGATATGAATGGTGCTTCTTCAGGACCGAGCAGAAGCACCAGGATCAGCGCTGAGCTCCAGCTGAAGCCTGGCACTGATTCTGGCGCTTCCACTGAGCCCTGACAGCCTTGAAGAAGTGCCGATCAGCTGGAAAGCGGCACTGATCCTGGCGCTTCCACTGAGCCCTGACAGCCCTGCAGCTCCAGCCGTCTCTCGCTCAGGCTTGTGTGGTGCTGCCACTGGTTCAGCTCATTCCCCTCCCCCGCTACCCCTTTTCTAGGATGGCCGCGTACCACCTGCCAGGTGCCAATGTACCACAGGTGGTACCCGTACCACTGGTTGAAAAGCCCTGGATTAGAGTACTGATTAGAGAGGTAGTTATCTTATTGTTTCTGTTTCTAGCGGTAACCAGCATATAGGATTTTTCTCTAGATTGGATTGTTGTACTTCTCCAAGAAAGGGAAGTTAGGAGGGACAACTGTCCCAATTTGTCAACGCTTATGAGGCATTTTTGCTTTTGTAGGGCTTTCTTTGCTGGAACGGCTGATGCGGCACAACCCATTATACCAAAAGACGAATGAGAAATACAACCCACAATTTGTCACTATGCTGCTGCGCAATTACAGGTACATTCCATGCTATAACTTCAGGTTAAAATCAAGAGTAGGTTTTGATTTGCCACAAATCCCTCAGTGACATTGGCTGAATGAGTGGGATTTCTATTTGGGAAATTTTTCCAGTGATAGTTTAGAATAATAATTGCACCCGATGGCCTGAGAGTTTCTTTTTAAAGGAAAAACAACATGCAAAGAGACGATTGTGCAAATGACACACTGGTATATATACATATACATGTGTGTGTGTGTGTGTGTGTGTGTGTGTGTATATATATACATGTATATGTGTGTGTATATATATATCTGGCTGGGAAGGTCACAAATGATAATCACATGACTCCGGGAATCTGCCACTATTGTAAATACATGCCAGTTGCCAAGTACCCAAATTGTGATCATGTGATTGTGGGGATGCTACAATGGTTCTAAGTGTGAAGACTGTCATAAGTAACTTTTCTCAGTGTCATAAAATTGAATTATCATTAAACAAAGGACTACTTATAATAATATAAGTATCTGGGTGACCAATACCATGTACTGTAGCTTTTATAAAATTCCCTGTTCATCCTAAATCACAGAGCTTGATCTACCCTGCATGCCTAACTTGATCTACCCTGCATGCCTAACTTAGCTACTGAATTCAGTTCAGATAGTACTGTGATATTAAATCAGAAATTAACCAGACTTGAGTTCAGGTATAACGAGGTAAATAAGATCAGCATGTTGTGAAAATGGAACGGGTACAACTTCAATTGATTTATTTATGTGTGTTGTCCAAACTCAGCTAGGCAGAAGTATAAGCGCCTTAGAAAGAGTGCAGCTTTTTAGAACATAATCTCATATGGAAAGCCACTGTGCATACGGAAAGCCACTGTGCATTCCATGTACAAAGTTCTGTTCTGTACTTTGCTCAATCTTTTCCACAGATATGCTTATGAAGAAAGGCTTGCTTTTCCAGTTTTGTAAATCGAGGTTATCTATGATAGACTTGACCATGCTGTCTAGAAAGTCTGGAGTAGCACAAGAACAGGCAACTAGGGCCTTCAGGTTCTAATCTGTGATAGGAGATAAAGAAAACATCAAACTTTTTCTTGTAAGCTATTCAAGCTTGCTTAGATGCTAAAAGTGCAGTCTTCAATTCCAGGTCTCATGAAGCCATCCTCGAATTCTCCAATAAAAAATTCTATGATGGTAAGCTCCTGAAGTGTGGTGATGAACTAATTACTCATTCCTACTGTGATTGGAAAGAACTGCCCAAGCCGGTGAGGACCTATATACATTGAGCAGGATCATAATCACATACATGTATTGTGAAATACTTAAGGTTTTTTTTCTACGTTTCTTGCAGAAATTTCCCATCATCTTCCATGGGGTCTGTGGTGAAGACAAGCGAGAAGCGAGGAGCCCTTCATTTTTTAATACTGCTGAGATTGATGTGTTGATATATTATCTCAAGAAACTTCTTCTGGAAAATCAGGGCAAAAAAGGACAAACTAAAATTCCTCCCAAAGAGATTGGTGTCATCTCTCCATACAGAAAGCAGGTAAGATCTTCCTCTAGTTTTAGGTAAGTAAACTAGACTCTTTTCTTTCAGTACTGGTAAACTCATGGTTTCTTCACATGGTCAAAATGTCCTCTGTCTGATGTAACCAGACATTTCCTCAACTGCTTCCATGCCTGTGATTTTTCAGGAGGATGCAATCTGTAACATAGGTGAACTACAGTTTACAGCATGGCATCAAAAATGCATCAGACAGTTATTCCAGACATGGGATTTGTTTTGACAATTTGCAACAATCCTACATTAGGCCGTATGTTCTCCATATGTATGCTTTGAATAGTATTATAGTGCCATATAACAATATGCATTAGATATTTTTGTACTTTTGATACTATAGTTTTAAAAGAGTTATATTTCAGTATTGCAGGAAAAATGCTTAGATGTTTATGGACTGGAAGTTTTGTAGTTTGTTTTGTACTTTCTTTATTCCCAGCATATACTGTAACACTGAAAAAGAAAGCATTGTCTAGACATGTGTATATACTTAAGATAAAGGAAAAAAGGCAAGCGTTCCACATCTGCAGTCTGCATTAAATTAAAAAATCAGCATTACAAAGATTTCATCTCTGCTGAGGACCAATAATCGAACTAAGGACTTATGATACACTAATTTCTCTTTCTGTTTAGGTAGAGAAGATAAGACAGGCCATAAATATAGAATTAAAGTCCCTGATGAATATCAAGGATCTAAAGGTGAGATCTGGACCAAGGGAGCCTTGGTTATTTACTCTTATGTCGTATAGCTCAAAGCTACACTGGTATGACCAGGTAGGATCTAATATGCTGCAATAGCAATGCATGCACAGCATCAGTTGGTTTTTTATCTTTAGAAAAAAAGAATCCTTTAGTTACTAAGAACCAGCAATCATACCACCCTTTAGTGTAATTTTAATGTACATACTTGTGCTAAACATTTAGAAACAAAGATGAACAGATATGAACAATGAAAATACAGTGGAACTTTGGGAAAGGTGGATTTATTTTAACAATGTACTAAAGGATTCTTCACATCTTCCCTGTCTGCACCTCCCCAGGGTAGTTCTCACTTAACTATAGTAATTAAGACGAAATTCAGTCACTAAGTGACAGAGTTCTTTAGTCTGATGCCATGTGACTGTGCTAACTTAACAATGGCAGTTGTGGCCATCCCAGTTTCTTTAAGTTCTGTGTGGGATTCATTAAGCGAATCCCACACAGTCACAGCCTTCCATTGTCAGGTGATTGCCATTTGCAATCTCTTGCAAGCTTCTTGTTGGAAAATGGCAGTGAAGATCAAAAATGGTGATCACATAATTGCAGGATGCTGTGACATCTTAATTGCAAGCTAGTTGCCAGGTGCCCAAATTGTGATCATGTAACTGCAAGTTGGGATGCCATCATGCTTAGAACATCTAGAACCCATTATAAGTCCCTCTCATTCATTACCATTGAGTGAGATGTAATTCAACAAAGACTACTTGTATGCTTCACAGTATGGGAAACCATAATGATATAATGAAAGGAAAAGGCTCCCTGCTAAGCCTATTTATCACTTTGGAGTTCCGTAACTCCTGTATCCTAGCTAGAATTCTTTTACGTTTCTGCATCTCAGGTGGGCTCTGTGGAGGAATTCCAGGGTCAGGAGCGGCGTGTGGTGCTCATTTCAACAGTACGCAGCAGCAGCCATTACTTCGGAATAGATGAAGAGTTCAACCTTGGTTTCCTCAATAATCCCAAGGTATCACATCGATATGTGACATGCTGTAATTTGTAGCACATCCAGGGCTGATTGGCTTTTTTATGGGACCAAAACAATCCAGAAATATATCCTCCCAAATGGCTCTTCCTTTTTAGGGGCCATTAGAGAAGCTATAACAAAATGTAATTTATTTTGTGCTTTGTATGTGCCTTGACTTGTCTAGTAAATTTATTGTTTATAACTTAACATGTGTGAATCAAGCCATTTCTGATTATTTAAGAAACCTTGGATAAATAATCCATAAGTTAGTATATAATCTGTACATTTCACACATCTCCATATCATTTCAGCACTTTGGCCTGGAAATATAGGAAGAATTCCAGGAAGGGATTATTAACATTATATTCCCTGTTCTGATGCTCCAAAGCCAGTTATAAGACTGTTAAGACTTCTGTAAATCTAATAGCTCTTTTAGATCAAGACTCTGTATGCTTTACATAGGAATTTCATCAGTTGACATTTTTACAACTTTCTTTAAATACCTTTATTGTACAAGCAATATCTTATCAAAGCATTTTAGAACAAAAGCTAATATAGCCTGAAGCCTGCATTGCTCTGCAAAGTAGGAGCTTCTTAACTCTGCTGTACCACCAGGTGGTGATCCTTAGTTAAGTTCTAGACTCCTTTTTGTTCTCTTTGTCTTGATTCATAGCAACTATATGGGTAAGTCCCTGCAATATTCTTTTCAACAGTTTTAGAAGTTTTAGATAGACCTCAAATTACAAACATAATTGAGACCAGAATCTTTGGTAATTGAGCGAAGCAGTCATTAAGCGAGATATCATTTGACTGCTTCACTCAATGACCACAATCTTGGCTCTCCCAGATGTGATCATTAAGAGGAGGGTGGCCCTGGGTGGCCTGGTATAAGCTGCAGGGCCCACTTGAAGACGTAAACCTGCCATGGATTGGAAGGCCTCGGCTGGCTACAGGCCCTCTGACATGTGGGTTCCTGCTGCCACCCTGGATGCCCTGGCCTGCTCCAAGCCTGGAAGAACTTGAATGATTACAGAGTTCACCAGTGTGAGGAAACCAGCTGCAGACAAGGAGGCCCAGGCCTTCTCCACACCCCACCACACCTGGGGTGACTTTGGTCACCAAGTCCAGCAGTGCATGTAAATTGCTCCACTTACCTTTGTGTTTTTCTGCAGCTGCTGACAGGCACCCTTTCTACAGTGGCCGTCTTGCACCATTCTACAAGTGGGCATCATTCTTGTGATCATTCAGAAGGCCCTTTTCCAAATTGTGCATGCTGAATGACATAAATAGCCCCTGCTTGCAGAATGACATGAGGTGGCCTCTGTAGAAAAGCATGCCTCACATTGGTTAGGTGTGCCTGTAACCAGCTTCAGAAAAACACAAAGATAAGTGGAACAGTTTATATGCACTGCTCAGCCCTGTGACAGGCCAAGACATCCCAGGCATGGTGACTTGGGGAGCAGGCTTAGGCTTCCAGGACTGTGGCAGCTTTGCATATACTGGTGGGACAGGTAGGTGACAGAGATGGGGGAGGAAAGATATTCAGGTGGGGGCAGTTGAAGTGCACCTATGGTTAGTAGTAAGAGCAAATGGACTGCCAAATGCCCAAATTTTCATCATGTGACCATAGGGGTACTACAATGGCCATAACATTGTACACAAGTCATAAGTCCCTTTGTTTTGTTCAGCACTATTGTAACTTCATTGTTCAGTTGTTGAACAGTTGTTAAATGAGGACTGCCTGTGGTTTGCTTTTGCCACCTTCCCAGGGCTGAGAGCGCAACTGGCCCAAAGTCACCCTGTTTGCTTTGTGCCAAATGTGGGACTAAAACTTTGTTTTCCCCATTCTTAGTCCAGGTTCTTAATCACTGAACCAAGGATATGCAAGCATCACCAGTTAGGGAATGTAATCCCTGTAGTAGTGTTGTGCTAGATAAAGGTTATTTCTTAGAACATTAGAAGATTCAGTTAGGAGATGGAAGTTAAGGAAGCTTTTTTTAATGTCAATTATGAAATCTATATCTCATACTTGAATGTAGGGAGTATGTAGAATTCATTTCTGGTTATCTAAGTTATTAACATTTTCTCTATATTACTCCTCTTTTTCATTTTCAGCGTCTGAATGTGTCCCTTACAAGAGCTAAGGCACTCTTGATCATTGTAGGCAACCCAATTACACTAAGCAAGGATCCATACTGGAATGAGTAAGTGTTGGCCTTCTTAATCCTCATGTCTTTGCCCAGCTAGCAAAATTATTTTTCCTCCTGCGGTGAAATCAGAGGCACAACTGAAGAAGTAGTGCTAGTGATTCTTTGAGATTTTCAGGTAAAGAATTGCTAAGTTACAGTACCTGGTGCTACATGAAAACTTATGACATGAAAGTGCTACATAGCTGTATTGAAAGGCTTATTTGCCATTTGGGATCTCATATAGTTGATTGGTGACTGCCTCAGTGACCCTGCCATTTCTGTAAGTGGTTCACAAGAGTGTGAGTAGATACTCTGTCTAAGTCCAAATGTATTCTGTTTTCCCATTCCAAATTCTGATCTGCCTTAATTGCATTAATACTTCAACTATGTCCACAGGTTTCTTGAATACTGCAAAGCCAACAAAGCTTGGGCAGGATATAAACACACTGGAGTAGAGGATGAGTTGCCAATAGAAGAGTTAATTTCTCTCAACATAAATGATCAGCCAGCAGGTAAGGAAAGGGCTGCAATGTTGAAAGCAACCTTTAATTGTTAGTCATTCTTTGGATGTTTGGAAGTGAGCCAATTTAATACTTTTGCTCTCAGAGCAGTGGACTTTGGGGGATGAGAAGGGTGAGTCAATCTTCAAATTAAAGAAAAATGGGACTAAGCCTTACAACCTTAAGTTGAAGGAAGCCAAAAGCAAGAATTAGGAAATATTCTCTTTCCCGTGAAATAAACATTTAACAGTCCTCTTAAATGCAGAACAAATTGCAACAATGTTAGATCATGAGTCAGTGTTCTAATTCCTTAGTTGCTACTTAATTGTACAATAATTATAACCAAGCCCCTTTGAGGTGTCCAATATGCGTGAAGCAAGAATTTTTGTGGTATTAACCTTGGGAAGAATGAACTCTGAAAAAATCATACCAACTTTTTTGTTTGCAAAATGGGAGGGTGGGGACTGATTAGAGATTAGAGTTGGCAATTGTGCCCCTGTTGTGTGGTGTAAAGGAGGGAATATTTTTGTTAGCCCTAGACTTATCTTTGCTCGGAAGCCCAGAATGATGATTTTTCAATTTCCCTGTTGGCTGGTGATAGCATTGATGCCTCATAGGTTGGTGTGATTTGATTTGAATTTGCTGGTGATCAGCAGGCAGGAAGAGGAGGCTTTCATGACTTGCCTCAAGTGTTTTAGAGCAGTGGTTCTCAACCTTTTTAATGTTGCGACCC